ATCATAAATGGAAATACTCCTTTTTTTCTTCAATTCACATGAATGAGGCCCCATCTTCCTAATATATCACATCACGTGTCACACAACTGCAGCAGCTTATATTGCCGCTAACACTCCATAAATATCCCTACCTACGTATGTAATTTGGCATAAAAGAAAGAGCCATGACGACAACAATGACAAAAGCAAAAGTCCTTGTATGCATTGTGTGCTTCGCCTACAGTAATGTGGTTTCATATAAAACTCACAGCTTTCATGATTCGACGAAACAAGATCTCCTTTGATTGCATGCATCCACCCTCCTCCTTCTTAACGTAATCAAGTCTCGCCGCTTCCCATTGCTTTACCTTAACCCATTAAATGTGCAATTAGTAGACTAACCTCGTTAAGGCTTTCAAAGCAACCACATCAGCTACTTAATCCACCCATATCGTACTCGATAGTACGTGTAAATTTTTGTTATTTAGAGGATTTCATTCTTCCAAAAATAACGCGGTGTAGCACCTCTAGAAACCAGACTACGCTGAAATGGATAGAAATGAATAGCAAGTCGAGCGATGCCGCCTCTGTTTCCTTGTTATTCTGCTCACAGGCTCTTTGTTTTCTTAACGCAGCCCACATGGCCGCGTGCATTGTTATATATGCGTCAGAGTGACTGCCCCGAAGATTTTAAGTGGCCAGGTTTACGGAGCTTTAGCAATTGCAAAGAGGCAACACTTACCGAATTCTTTCAACCTTCAACAAATGCTAAAACGGCTCTATTGGTACAGTTACAAGTAGTTCAGTAAGCGATCTGTTATTTTCATCTATCACTATTCAATGGCCTCGTCTCAGTTCAGGTTTCTCATGACGTTGAATCACATCAATAATAAAATTCCTTGTATATTTAATAATAATTTGGACTGCCTCTTTGAGCGAATTCACATCTAGTAATGTTACATTCTACAACTTACTCATGCTTCTTTGAAGAAGTATGATTGTGAGATCCTATTTTTAGTCCAAATTTAATTATGAAGTGGATCTTAAACCACTTTAAAAATCCTGGAGTCATTGTAGAGAATGCGATCCACATGGAGAACGAGCTGGTAAATTTAAATACGACTCGAAGTTACTAGCACCAGCTTAAGTCAAATTGCATGAAGCTAACCACAACCAATAACAATTAGTCTTGCTTAAAGCCACTGAAGCACCAAGAACACGGGGGACCAGCGCCGACTTGATCTTAAAATCAGCCTACAGGTGATGCAAGGGGATGATGGAGATAAAAATTTAGTCGTTTTAATCTCAGAAAAATGAATAGATGTGTTTATTGTCAAAGTGGCAGAAAAGGAACAAATATTTTGCGAAATAGCGGGAGGTTAATCAAATGTAATGCAACCCTAAAACGTTTAACTTTCACCCGATAAAGGCTGAGACCCGGCTAGGCCTGTATTCGGGTTTCTGTTTTTTTCTCCCTTATAGAGGTAATTTTCTTGACGCTTATTTATCATCCCATACATGGAGCTCAATTATCCAGTAGAAGCCTAATTTCGCTATTAAAGTGTCAATCTAAACAGTCCAGTTATAACAGCGCAATTAGTGAGTCTGAAGCAATCTAGCTACTTCAAGGAGGGATTCGACGAAGGTCATTTTTATCAACTTACATAAGAAGGAGAGAAACTAGACGAAAGATCTTCAAACAATGCAGAGATGCAGTTTAAGTAATAGCAAAAAATTGCTGACGCTGAAACAAAGCAGTGTTGTTGCGACGTCAACTTAGGCGGAGAGAGTGAAAAAAGGATTCGAATAGTTTGTTGGAAGTGTGATTGATGGCAGTTAGACACGCGCTAAATTCTATCAACATGTAAGCTCCGTGCATAAAAAGTAAAACAACTAAAAGTAACGTCTGAGAATAACAAAAAATGATGGTGAGTAGCAAACTTGTCAAAAAAGGGTGGAAGAAAGATGGACAATCTTTTTACGGTCGTGAATCAAGAGTGGATTTCAAAAAAGGGAGACATGGAAAGCCTCATTAGAATCAATTTAATAATCCTGGTTGCTTGAGAGGTCAAAGTATGCCTATGGTGACAATCGAAAAGCGTTATTTCACTAAAGGGAACGAGTAAAGTTCTAATCGTAATAAAAGGGTAATAAATCTGCTATTCTGGGAGTTTCTAGGATTGCTAAAATATTAAAAAAGATTGATATTGTTATTTTGATTGGCAGTTAATAGCAGTCTCGATTCTGCTAGCTGTACACTACGCAAAAAAGCCTTACAGAAAAAAAGGCGTCTGTGGTGGAAGGCCGAAGCTACGGAGACTCATAACAGGAATTAACGTGATAAATATCCCAACCACATGTAATGTAACGGACACTGATGAGGCAAGTCCGAATTGAAATAACCCTGAATGAATGCCTACAATATTGATTTGAAGGTAGTTATTTGTAAAGTCCGAAAGACAAATACCTTCCTACATTGCAGGAATAAACTAGTCCAGATAAGTAGATGGACAGCACCACATTGACAACAGGGACGCTACCCTGAGGTACCACTTTACACTATCCACTTGGCATACAGAACTTGTTTGCAGCAGAATATCGTTCGGCCTCCAGCACCACGAAATGCAGTTTGCCTAACTGAGGAATCGAATCCAAGTCCACGGATAAAATAAGAGCCTTCATAGCATTGTCACTCAGATTGCATGATTGATTCCTGTCTACGGTTAAAGCGGAAGATCGTCCATAGGGAGGTTAAAAGTGGGACGACATTTATTTTAATTATACATGACCAGGTGAGACTTCTCCTTTTCCAGCCCTTCGACATCCATAGTGGTAGCATGAAGGTCCGTCAAATCTCTTCATCCCTTCATGCACCCATTACAAAGCAACCTCCAAATTCGCACGTCGTGTACCATCTTCAGGGATGTCTCGGACGATGACGTATCATAATTTGTTTATTTCATAAGAAGGAATTCTTGAGCTGCTCATACCACCTGTCGTAAATCTACCAGTCTTCTCAAAAATTTATAAGAGTTGCTTCAAAACAAGCAGGCCTTGCGGTGAACTCAGAAGTAACTCAGACTCAGCAACTATTTTATGAAGAGGCTGTCATTAAAGGAAGGGAAGGAAGGCAGTCAAAACTCACCCTGGAGGGCTGCCTATCGACAAGGAGGAGGAAACCGTCGCGGGAGATGCTAGTGCGTCGATGGTAGTCGATCAGCTGGTTGATGGAGTCAAATTTGCGTAGCCAAACAAAGTACTTGCCCATCTCATCTTGTAGCACCTTGAAGTGCTGCACTTTCTGGCCGTCTCTAGAGGCAAAAAAACAGGGCTCGGTAAAAGCGCATTCACTGTAAGCATGAGTAACCCAGTTTCCTTTGGATGCACGTTTCCGTTTGTGACTAATGCCTTTTAAGTAGCCCTCATGAAACAAGTTGTTTTTTGGAATTAGAGGAAATTCACGACACTTTATCAAGTAATATTGAACATCACCTAAAATGTTACGGCTTTTAATCACCAACAATTAACCAAGACAACGGCAAAAACTGCAAAGGAAAAATAGAGCTATTGGTAGCATTCAGGCTTCATTAAAGTGTCCGAAATGAACCAGCAATTTAAGAAAAATCCAATAGCCAAATCATTGCTACCTCCTCAACACAAGTCGTCTAAAGTACCCCCTCTTCTGCTTATACGGCATCATTAAGATAGGTGAGAAAAGAAGAGTTCACGTGGACAGTTACAAGTGTTTGAAGTGCCAAAACAACTCAAAGCCAAGATGCACCAAGAAAACTGAAGATGTCCATCTGTTACTACAATTCGCGCTATTTTGAGTCTCCAGCAAATCTACTTCCACTACTGGTAGTGCGAAGCTCTGTTCATACCACCTGCATCCCCATCTGTTGTGTATTTCTAGACATATGCCGTATAACTTCCCTAAAAAATAAGTCAGATCCTTCTTTGGATGTGTACGACGTCTTTTACTCTCCCATGAATGTGGTCACACTCGTTGGTACTACAAATAATATTTATGTGGCAATAAACCGACCCCCAGCGCTCATAATTGTCATGGAAGGGGGTCTCCAGTGGATAACCAGGTCTACAGACCGGAAAAAAAACTACACAAACTGTTTGGCAAATGCCAAAAGTTTGTCCTCCGAACACCGTTTATTAAAAGAGTCGAAGCTAAATGTTATAAAAGAAACTGATGGCAAGACTGCTACAATAACAAATGACATCTAAAGATGTCACAGGTTAACAGTAACACAAATAAGTACCTCGATGGTATTAAAATGATAGCTAAGCGGAAACGAAGAAGATAGTTAGAAATAGTGACAAGCGACATGTTAAGAAAAAATATTTGATGAAGTAGATTTAGCTTTTAGTGATTGATCCTTGAGATGCCTTTGCTCCAGAACATCGGCGAACTTTGAGCAATATCTAGCTAAGAATACCCCCATAATGCATTTTTCTAATAGACGATGTGATGGGCGAACCGTCAAAATGTCGATAAAATGCGAAAGTCTCGTGACAGGGTTTTCAGTATTGTCAAGCAGTTGATCTTAATCGATCCAAACACCACTATGATGGCCAAAGCAGAAAAGCATTAACTGGAGGTAGTGTGGATAACGGCCAAAATAAGATGGGGCCAATGTACCATAATATTTATGCTAACAATCCACAAGAATACATTATTCTTATATGCTTCCGATACAATCTACTGCAGACTTAGCTAATTAACTAAGGCGACTGGATATCTGCCACAATCATTTACACAGTCAAGAGATAGACCGATAACCTCACAATGGTACCGAAAGCCTTAAAACTCCTCATGACCCACTTGGCATGCTTTAGAATTCAAAGGGTAGAATTGGAAAAAAGGCCCCTTGCAGATACTTATTCACTTAACATTTTGCATCCGATGCCCTGGTAGATCACTCTCCTGGGCCCCTGGACCTTTCGCCAACCACTGCGAACTAGTCATACGCTAATACTCGAGAGGGCAGGCGTATGTGTAATTTTGGCACCCAGCTTGGTCACCATTATGGAAACTGATGAGTCATCGAGGATGAGGCATGCCACGCAGTGCACCCCATCCACACGTACACGTGATTAATCAACAACTCAGACGTGTTCGAGTTTTCCAAATTTTGTAGACCGGTGTCTACACACCAAAAATCGGTCTCAATCAATAGTGGGTCCAGACACATAAGCCATTGGAGACGTGAGACTATTGGTCATTCAGGGCCGTAAGCAGTTCTGTTTCAAGGGTGTGAATGGCAGGGAATTAAGGTTATTCAAATGATACCAAACACCACCCTTCTGCACTTTTTTTCGCATCAACAGTGTTTTCAGCAAAAACTAAAAGCAACCGCCAGATAGAACGAAAAACACCTCTCACCCTTTTTTAACAAACTGTATTGGGGGTTAGGCATCGCTTACGATTAAAATTGAAAATCTAATCAAGATTACCACTTGGTATTTTACCTGGTTTCATTACCGAGTTATTTATCTGGACTATTATGAGATTTTTAAAACATGAGATGTCAAATCTTCATGTTCTAATTATCATTCACTCACTTTATCTCAATATTCTAACCGAGTTCACAAGCAAAGTTGAGTCTGGCTCCGCTACTGGTCATGGGACAGGTCATGAGGACGAGGTGACTGTCACAAGCCAATAAGATTTTGGCATGTCCTCTGTTGTAAGTGTCTAAAGTTTCAGCAGGCACCTTCTTATGGATAACAAAGTGACCCTATCAGACGGAAATCGCCTATGAAGTAACAACCAAACCTGTCACATTCTTTGCAAGAAGTGTGTCGAAGCATACCCCGAGGCTACCGCCAACGTAGCAGCCAAGTTAACCCAGAAGAACTTGTTTAAGATGCACGAATGCGGAAGTAACCTCATTATATGTGTTTGTAAGATTAGGTGGTAAGTAGTAAAGCTCCGCATCACAGACGTGTAGAACATGCAGGCAATGTGATATGTACCACGACCCAACAATAACGTCCATGTAGAGATACATAACCTCGAGAAATCAAATGAAGTGTTTCACCAGTTGATACAACAAAGCACAAAATTCTTATGACGATGACAAAAATGTACCACAGTAAGAGAAAGCATAACCTGAAGTACTTGATGTTTAAATTCAAAATAGATGGTAAAAAGTTTCAAGGAAAACGAGATATGGACAAAGCCACCCATAGTGACACAAGATAATTCGTGATATACAAAGCTACGATAAATGGGGAATAAAGAAGACACCCTTATTGAGGGGACTTACAAAAACATGCTCATAATACCAAAAGTCATGCAATGAGATGTGACGCAATGTGATGGATTAGGAAAACGAAGTTTCATATGCGTGAATGAAGGTGTAAAAGAGGTGAGTCGGAAATAGGAAAAAGAAAGTTGCCGAGTCGTGAGACTCAAAGTTCACGCTTTCTCAAGGCATAAACTCAACGCTTGAATACTTTGCCTGAAAGTGAGCACGGCTTGCATTTGAAAGCAGATATTTCGTACACATTCCACCCTACACCTCGTTACTCAGTGCCGGTGGATTTCACGGC